CTCCACACAAGTCCTAAAACTAGATAAAGAGAACCCAATTAAATAAATGAGTCAAAAACATACTTTTTATTTATTGAGGAAAATGATCCAAAGCTACATATTTGTGTGTGGCAAAACAAGTTGAGCCTCTAAGATTATTGGTTCATTTGAAGGAGAAATTAGAGTCAGATGTTTCAATCAGTGGGACGATAATAAGGTGTGAGTGTGGGAAGTCCTATCTTATTTAAAGAACAGAATTCCAGGTACTCACTATCAAAGCCTTATCTTCACAACACAATATGTGGAAGTGTGTCATGGCTCAAGCAAAGGAGATTTCTGAGGACCTCTGAAAAACAGCTGTTGATGCTCACCAGGCTGGAAAAAGTTACAAAACTATTTCCCAAGAGTTTGGACTCTACTGGTCCACTACTGTCAGGCAGATTGTGTAGATTATGTACAAATGGAGGCAATTCAACACCATTATTAACCTCCTCAGGAGTGGTTGACCAACCAAGATCACACCAACAGCAAGGAGTGTAATACTCCAGGAGGTCTCAAAGAAGCCCAGGGTAATGTCTAAGGAACTGAAGGCCTCTCTTGCATTGGCAAATGTGTGTTCATGAGACCACCATCAGGAAAACACTGAACAACAATGGTGTGCATGGCACGGTTGCAAGGAGAAAGCCACTACCCTGCAAGAAGAACATTGCTGTCTATCTACAGTTGCAAAAGATCACATGCATAAGCTAGAAGGCTATTGGAAGAATGTTCTGTGGATGGGTGACACCAAAATAGAACTTTCTGGCTTGAATGAAAAGCGTTATGTTTGGCAAAAGGCAAACATTGCACTCCAGCATAAGAACCTTATCCCATTTGTGAAACGTGGTGGTAGCAGTATCATGGTTTGTGCCTGCTTTGCTGCCTCTGGACCAGGATGTTTTACTATCATTGATAGAACTATGAATTCTGAATTGTACCAGCAAATTCTACAGGAAAATGTTAGGGTATCTGTTCATGAACTGAAACTCAAGAGAAAGTGGGTCATGTAGCAAGGCAATGACCAAAACACACAAGTGGCACGACCAAAAAATGGTTCAAGCAGAAGAAAGTTAATGTTTTGCAATGGCCAAATCAAAGTCCTGGTCTTAATCCTACAGAAATGTGGAAGGCAGTTCATGCAAGGAAGCCCACCAACAACCCTGAGTTGAAGCTGTTCTGTAAGGAGGAACGGGCTAACATTCCTCCAAGATGGATGGAATTGAGAGTTATTGGAAACATTTAGTTGCAGTTATTGCTGCCCAAGGGGGGCATACTAGTTACTGAAAGCAAAGATTCACCTACTTTTGCCACAGACAAATATGTGGCTTTAGATCATTTTCCTCAATAAAGAAATGAACAAGTATAATGTTTTTGATTTATTTAATTGGGTTCTCTATCTAGTTTTAGGACTTGTGTGGAAAACAGATCATGTTTTAGGTCACTAGTGGCACAATTTGGGGTTTTGTTTTTTTTTAAAGATTAGAAATGAGACCCCTTTGATTCCCAGGGGCCTCTGACTCCAGTCTTCCCTTCAAAAAAAAAAAAGGGGGGTGAAACATTCAGCCCATTCTGATGTCAAAACCCTTCTGCTAATTATTACCTCCAGCCCTCCACCAACTGGTCAGAAAGGGAGTTATGCCTCCTGATCCAAGGAAAAATGGCTATCCCTGTTACACAATCCAACATTATAAAGATCAATAACAGAAGAACATGAAAATTACTCACAAATGTAATGATCTCGCACCCGAGCCAAATGTACAAGGTTTTTCAAGTCGTCATGACGAAAAATTTCTCTACTGAATGTATCTAATCGAGCATTAGCTACTCTTGCTACTTTCTTCCCTAGAAAAAAAGAACCAGTATTTAAATTCCAAAAGAGTTATTAACAAGTCTTCACTGAACCTTTTCTACTACTGCTGGATTGTTTTCTCATCTCTGCTTCAACCCAAATACAAAACATAGATTCCAAATAACATCTTGTCCAGCTAAGGAGCTGATTAATAGATTGGTACCCTGGACAAAAGAAACCTGCAGTCCAATCCTATGTAGGTTTCTTCAGATACCCCTCAATTAACTCAACAGCTTTTCTCCTAAGAGTTGTAATCAGCCTTCACTTTTCAGAACCCAGCATCAGGCAGTCACTTGATTTTTTGACAGCCAGGGGGAAAATAACCTGAATCCCTGCATAGCAAATAGAAAAAAGGGGAAGAAGGAATCCAGCCATAGATCCAAGTTTGCCATTTCTGTAACACAGCCCCCAAAGAGCTGGTTGGAGGAGGTTATAAATCAAAAATCAGACCATGAGGAAGGTGAACATACATTTAACCAAACTGAGAGTACAAAGTTCTGTCATAAACCTTTTTTTTTTGGTCAATAAAACAGAGTGTGTGATTTTCTACAATTTAAAGAATGAAGAGACAAATTACCTTTGATTTCTTCAATCTCAATAACTCCAGAAGAAAAACACTTTTTCAGCCGCTCAGCTGCTTCCCCTTCAACAGGTTGCAATAAAGTAATTTCTGGCAACAGACGGTAACTGGCTGTGGCTACTGGAGAAAATTTGGCATGGTCTTTACCTAAAGGAGTGATTTTTAAAAAGCAAATGAATGCAATCAAACATAAACAGGATGAAGTGGAGGCAGAGAGAGAAAGCTGGAAGCAAACAGGGTTTGTTCTGCACATCTGTCCAACCCTCTAGATAATAAAAACCAGTTGTACTCTTCCAAATAGGCCATTAATCCTTCATAACATTTATCAGTAATGCTGGTATCACAAAGAAGTTGAGCACAGGCAGAATGCATATGGCAGGGATTTTCAAGCTTATGGCCTGCAGATGGCAGTGGTCCACAGAGGTCTAACACAGCCTTCCCACTAATTCAGAACCCTATTCACTTCAGCCCTTGCCTCCCAACCTTTACCACCAAATTGCTGCTTCACAAAAATGTATCAGTGACTGAAAACCTATTCACTGAAGCACACAAGTGGTAATACAAATAGCAAAGTGAGTAGTACAATTCACATTATTGACAATGGCAAACAGGTCTCAAGTACAGATATCAACTATGAGTCCATGTGTGCTGTGCTAAACGGAGATGGGATCTCTCAAGCAACTCAAAAAGTGCAAACAGTAAACATTCATTTTTTATTTAGCAAGTTTATATGTAAAATGGGATCTCACTGGGGTGGAGATCCACTCAGCCCTGCCCTAGGACTCCAGAGATTTTTATCAAAGAACATTCTTGAACAGCACATTCATGCTGAGCACTGTTGCTGTTACGGCATGGCATGCAAGACATAAAATAATTGAAATTGTACATAAATACTTAATGTCGGATAACATTTTTGAACACAATTTCATTTAAAAAAAACCCTTTAAAATTAAGGGGATGGGAGGGCATATTCAAATGCAACTATAAACTACCTTACTTGCCAAAAAAAATTGAACTCACACACTCTTCCATCTTTAAGATGAAAATACAGGGGAGGAAATATCTGTTTAACTGGATGGATTGCACAATTTCCAAACATTTATTTAGTGGTCCAGGATTGCTGAAAGTTTAAGAAACCCTGACATATGGCTTAAATCTATATGTATACCCTTTAAGGGAACTGAGTAATAGTTTATTGGAAAGTCTGCTACTTAGAATTCAGAACAGATATATTTTGAAATCTGTCTAAAACCAATTTTTGCTTTTTCTAATATCAGACCAGAGGGACACAGCTTTCAATCACCTCCTTCCCAGAGTCTTATATAAGCTATTTCAGAGTGGCCAAACTATGAGTACACAGTCTTTTGAGTCACTCTTGCATGATCACCTGTTTTTTATGTAGGAACATGCTGTTCAGAAAGTCTTTATCTGTTTGTTTTTCTCACCTCATCAGCATTAAGTGGAGGGTGTCCACCCTCTATGGCAAAATGAGCTGAAATATTAACTAAGTGATCCAAGCGCTAGTCATTGTTAATTAAGACACCAGGGAAGATGTAAAACATGACCCCTTAACCTGGGGGAAAAAAGCTTATTACTTAGCAGGCACATTCCAGGACAGGAATGGGCAGGACTTTGCATTTGAAGTTCTGAATGGATAGCAGGAGGGAAAAAGTAAAACCTAAGTCCCAGAATATTTTTCTTGGCTGACAAAGTAAATATTACCACTGTGAAGCAGACCATTATTTCAGATTCACCCCAGACAACATATTATTTAAAAAAAAAACCCTAGCCAGACTTTATCTAACCCAAAACTCAAATACACCCTTTACAATATAGAGATAGGAATTACAAAGCATTGTGGACCACTTATAATTCTATCCCATCAACAAAAAAACAACATATCAAACAACCAGAATAATCCAAGAGGCAAATTAAAAATGCCCTACGCTCTCTACAAAGGACCCTATCACTGAGACCTGGCATCTATTGAGAAAATACCAGCCACATGTACAAAGTAAGCATTTCCCCCCCAAAAAATGAAATTGCCAAATTTATCTCAGAACACTAGCTGTCTCACCAATGCCCTTTACACAGTGCATAAGTACATCAATCTCTTGGCCAGGACGTAACTGAGCAATGAGGATATCATCATGGACAGGTCGGAAATTTGCATTCATGTTGTCTGCTTGAGATCCTAGCGGTACCCACTCCATGTGTTTGCTGTAAACTATAAGAAGAAAATAGTATTTAAAAAAAAAAATTCTAAAAATTATTTTAAAAATTTCTAATTTCTAAAAAGTTGGGCTTACAACTACACAGACATAACCTACTCTGACATTATTCATTCAGTTATTTGCTAAGCCTTATATGCTGCTCCAATCCAACAGGATATCTCTTCAATCAACAAGGAACAGCAAACAGTGATATTCAAAATGGGGAATGGGGGAGGCAAAACCATGAAAAAATTAATTTTGCAAAGTAGAACACAGGGGTCTTTATTCCAATGTTAAAGAAGGGGAAAGATTTAGTGGACTGAGAGGGCTTGAATATGGGGATATGTCAAGATAATACTTGTATTAGGACAGAACAGTAGTCATTGTTCACCTGAAAGCAAGAATTTTACCTTTATGGTTGATGTAGAGCTCATTAGGATCAGATGATTCCCTAGCTGCCTGAGGATTCCTGCTGCATTTTATTTTCAACTGAAACTGCAGTGTGTTAATTTCATCACATTCGTCTTCTGAAAAAGGCAAGGAAGAACAGAGTAAAGCAGATGCACACACATTCTTTTAAGTTCTACTCAACAGTAGCCAGCTTCAGTCCTTGACAAATGCCTCCAACACTATCTTACCTTCACTCTTGTACTCAAAGAGACGAGGATCTGCACAAATAGGGATCAGCCCCAAACGGTGAGCCAGAATTTCATCCTGTACAATGGAGGTGTTGTTGTATACAAAGACTTTCTCTACAGCCATAGTTGGCACCTAGACAACAGACAATTTGTCAAAGTCCTGGTCTTCAGTTTCCGTTCTATTAATTTCTGAATTCTGATGGTCTAACACATTTATCTTAACAAGTCCATTAAGTCTTAACAAGAGAGAAATTTTAAAAAGGCTTTGTAGACTCCCCAATGTTCTTGCATTAATTTTTCACAAATCATTAATTATACCTTTTTTATTTCTGAAAAATTAGTTCAAGCTCCAGTAGGATGAACAGGCCATTTTAACAATATACCTACTATGCACATGTAATATAGTATAGCACTGAGCTTGCCATTTTGGACAACAACTTTCTAAATTTCAGTGATGCCTAATTTATAGTAATACCTGCTCTTTTTCTATAACACAAAAGTATTTTAAACGGCTACAAGGTTTACTGTTTAATAACCGCCTCAATTTTTTTAAAAAAATGCTTCTGAAGACTTTGTATTGCAATTTCTCTTTCACAACTCAATTGTCTTTGACAATCCTTCTCAATGCAAATGTTGTGATACTTTTGAGGACATATGCAAATGCATTATAATACCGCTGTTACTATGCTGGCCTTACTTTTTTTCTGTGGAAAAGAAATCAATACCTCAGCAAGCAAGATCCTTCGGAAAGCATTAGCAATGGCTGCATCAATCCCCACCATGTCAAATTCCAAAGTGCTTTCATCCATATGGATCATATCTACTTTGAAATTCTGTGGAAACAAAGGAAGTTTCAAAACAGGCATCTATAGGTGTCCTACTTTTGTAAAAAAAAAAAAAAAACCCTTTGCTGACAAATAGTAAGATGCGACAAACATTTTCATAACCAGAGTCTGTTCAAACAGTATCATTCTCCAAATCGATCCCTGCTAAGCACACTGAACAAAAAACATTGGCCGTGCTAGCTGTAGTTAATAAAGTATGATCCAACACATCTGGAGGTTACCAGATTGAGAAAGATCTCTTACCATACAATTAATGTTTACGCCATTATAAAATCCATTTGAATATTCAGGTATTTTAGTCTACAAATATTTATTTATTCAATTCACATCCTTCCCAGTCTTTCCAATCAGATGAGCACAGAAAATGGCTTGAGCGCATCTTTCATAAGCAGCAACAAACTGAACCAAGTTCTCCACCATACAAGCAGCATCTACATTTAAAAATGCACTACAGCTTGAACCAAACTACAGGCAAGCTAATAGGATCCAGAAACACAATGTTGTGCATCCCAATTTGTTGTTATCAAGAAAATTTAGAAACACCACAGGTCCAAGGAAACGCAACTGTTGACTTCAAGTTGCCTAACAGAAAGAATTACTTTTTCTCACCTTTTCAAATCTTTGCTTATCCCAAGCATCATTGTATCCTGAATAATTCCCAGGAAAATCTGTTGTGTGGACCTAGAGAGGAAAAAAACATCGTATAACTCTGACAGAAAATGCAGATTCTGCCGGGTTCAATCCCTCAACAGAAAGAGTTTGGAAAGGCACCCATTTGAAATCCTGAACAGCTGCCAATCTGCGTTGTGTGTATGTATTCAATAAACCAATGGCCTGATTCCGCATACGGCAGTTTTCCAAATTTAAAAACAAGATAACTAGTAAAAAAAATCACTTTACAGAATTATCTGGACCACTGGTGGAGTTCGTGCATACATCTGAGCATATTCAAGCAGCAACTGCACTTGTCTAGGGAAACTGTCAAATAACAGTTAAATATCCCCGACAAAATTTGCAACTCCCTTCGTCTGTATCACGGCAGTGTCCGAAGTAACGCTTCTTCATTCATTCAGCTGCACTAGATTTATATTGTTTATGTAACTCGTTTCCTCTCCAGGAAACTCCCACTCAAATCATTAACAAGACCTACTTCGTGGCCAGACAACGCTACCCCTCCATCGCTCCCGCCCTTTCTTTCGCTTACATTGCGAACACCGAACTCGCCCAGAACCACGCGGTTCCGCATCTCCTCCACGCTCCCGGGAGCTGCCATTCTTCAGCAAACGTGCTACGGTACAGCGGGAGAGACCACCAAGCCCAATGCGCAGGCGCAATGTTTTGCCGTCGAGCAGGAAGGAAAGCTTCGAGTCTCACGTGATATTCGAGTTCCGGTTGTTCGGATCTTCCCAAAGAACGGAAGTTGGTTGCGGTATGCCGCCATATTATGTGTGGCGCTTTCTAAGCTACAATTTTTGTGTCGGCGTGCTTTAGAGCTACGTATAAAGATTACATTTTGAGTGTGTATAAGACGTCTTGGACGTCTCCTGCTTTTCTGTTTGTCCGTCATTATCCATCCCTTCATGCGCTTCTGCTTCGTCTGGTCTGCCTGGAACAACCAAGATGGCACCGCAGTCAGGCCGGCTCCTAAGAAACCTCGCGAGAACGTCTGAGCCTCCACGTCCCCCGTGCGGCTCCGTAACCCCCCAGCGGGATTGCCTTGGCTTTGCTACATCCGGGCTCCTTTCGTGTCGCCTTCGGTCGGGCCCCGGTAGCCCGGCTCTTCCGTTAGCGAGGCGGGGAAGAGAGAGCGAGCGCAGCCGGGGGCGTTTGCGCCTCCGCAGCCGCTGCTGAGGAAATGTCCGGCCCCGGGGCAGCCGCGGGCGCCGGGGGAACGAGGAGCGGGGCTGCGACAGCGACCGCGGAGTGGGGAGCCTTCGAGGACAACATGCAGGTAGTGCGGGTCGGGCAGGCGCTTTCCCGTCTCCCCGCTCTCGGGATCCAGTTGTCGAATTCGAATTAGGCTCCCCTTCCCCGGACTCGCCGTTGCTCCGTTCCTAGGTTGCTTTGGGAATGTGCCTGTTTCCTTTGCGGGCCGGGGGGTAAAGTGACTGACACTTCGGGCATGTCCCTTGGAGCTCGGTCAGTGTGTTGCGAGGGAGTCCCTAAAGAGAGTGGCTGCATATTGTGCGAACGAGCAAAAATCGTGGACGGTGTCACAGCAGAGTAAGTGTCTGCAAGGGAAAGGTCCCAAAGGCGGTTTGCGCGAAGAAGAGGCTGCAAGCCAAGAGGCTGGATTCCAGTATCCGATCCGCCAAGCTGCTGCTTAGCTTTGACAAGCGCCTTGCGTAAGCTTAGTTCCTGGTTTCCAGGTGGAATTGGACAGCTATGCAGATGAAAAGATATCCCCAACATTATGTTTAAGCTTGTACTTGGATGAGATTGTATTGATCTAATGAAAGGCGGCGATCCACATTCCATTGTTGCTGCTCTTTGGGTGCCGTTTGTTTGCCAAACGTCCTGAATGTTTGGCAGCCTTCAGAGGGAAAACCCCAACCTGCTTGTTGACGTCCTTTCTGACAAACCAACCAGGCTCTGTAAGCAGTCTTGTCGTACATTTCTGTTGCCTATGCTATAATCATAGCTGTACAAGACTCAAAAATTTACCCATAATGCTGAATGCATTGGAGCAGTGTTTCTTAAAGTGTGATTCCAGGACCCCTAGGGGTCAATGAAATCAAAATTACTTGCCAGATCTTGAAGATATTTGCAAAAATTTAAAACAATGTTACTCTTCTCATTATTATTATTTGTTAAAAAATAGGGGGTTTTATGAAAAATATTTATGTTAATATCTAATGAGTTTAATATTATTTTTACATGATTCAATAAATAAATGTTCTACAAATGTGTCAGTTTTAATTTTTAATAGGTAAATATTGATAAATATAACCCATACAGACAAAAGCTCTTTTGGGGTCCTCCATAATTTTTAGAAGTGGGAAGAGATCCTGAAAGCAAAAAGTTTTAAGAAATGCTGCATTAGAGAATAAAGTGTGGCACACAGCTGGGTATGGAAGTGTGGAAGCAAGGAAGGTTTGCAAGGATAGAAATGTATGAAGTGTTAAGACAGTAAATGGCATTGGTGTAAACTAAATTTAGTTTTTTTTTTTTCTTACCTTGCCTCTTAAATCTTTGGTTACTATTTCTTACTCCTTTTCTGCATTTTGCATAAGTTTGCTTATTTACAGTCTTTTTTATCCAGTTGCTCCCTATGTCTCCAATAGCATGCACCCTGTTATAGAAAGCATTTAGTATTCAGTGGGTATGTTATCAGTTCAGTTAAATACAGATGAATCTGTTTAACAGACTGTCCACTTGACTATATAAAGCAACAGTTTTAATTATAGTTCCCCCAAAGCATATGAATGTCATTAATGTTTATTCTGTGTTCCATTTTAATTTAGTAGTAAATATATTGCGCAGCACCCTTTGCTAACAGTGTAGTAACCTGCCTCAGTGTTGTGATAGAGACCTGAAGAGTAGGCAAGTGGGAAGAGTAGTATCTTTAAGCCAAGATAGTTTATGACATAAATACAGTACAAGTAGTCCTTGCTTAATGACCATTCGTTCAGCAACCATTCAAAATTACGAGGGCGCTGAAAGAAGGGTAGCTACAACTGGTCTCAAAGTTAATGGCCATTGCAGCACCTCCACAGTCATGTGATCAGAATTCAGGCACTTGGCAGCCTGTCCGCATTTACAACCACAGCGCGTGCTTCAACTCCCCCCACCCGACTCTCTCCCCCGATCTCTGCCATTTTGGCTGCCCTGCACTCCATCATCCCCACCGCGCTGCACTCCATCCTGCAGCCACACCACTCTGCACTTTGCCGCCCCTGCTGCCCCTAGCTGACCTTTGCTGCTGCTGAATCGCGCCCGGCTTTAGTGATGCCTTGTGCCCTTCACCCGTTGCCCCCAGCTGACTTTCGTCACATTCTTCCTCCTGCTGCTGACGAGATGTGCCCAGCCGAGGACCGCAAAGGACCTGCTGCTGCCTTGGCCAGGCACACCTCGTCAGCAGCAGCAGGAACAAGATGGTAAAGGTCACCTGGGGGTGGTGTGGGGGCGGCAGGTAGGCACTGGTGGTAGAGTGCAGGGCAGCCAAAAGGGCAGAGATGGAGAGATAGGCGGGTGGGGGGAATTGAAGCAGAGGCAAGCATGGCAGAGCGGCAGAGCCTCGTCTGCCAAAGGGAGCTCACCGGGCCCTGTGGGGAGGAGGCAGCGGGATGGAGCCGGCAGTTCGCACAGGGCAAGAGAAGCGTGAGGTCCTCACCTAACAACCGCAATCAGAACTGCCATCACTAAGCTGTTCAGTCACACAATGTTTCACCTAACAATCGCTTCGCTTAGTGATGGAAATTCCTGTCCCAATTAGGGTTGCTAAGTGAGGACTGTAGCACAATTTTAAAAATAGAAATTGGTTATACGGCATTGCTGGTGATTGCTGTTTTTAAACTTAAGTAAAAACAAGCATATATCCAAATATATCTGTACAACTTAGAAGAGGAAGTATGATTTTTCTGGGCTTCAGTGTCTTCTCCTGAATGATTTCATAGAATGAGTTGAAATGAAAACCTGTGGGTTTTATGTTTACTTTCTTATGACATGATGGAATTTTAAGCATAATAAACTATTCCTGTTAGATTCCAGTTTGCTGTTAACGAGACTGCCATTACACTGTGCTGTCAAAATAAAAGCAGTGCATTCTTTTAAAAGGGAAGATATTAAAACTTTTCTGAGTAGAACAGTAGTAACATTTTTCATTTTATTGTTGATTTTGCAAATGGAGCATTTTACCCACAAACCAATTTAGCAGGTTTTCTTCCAGCTTAAGATAAATATTCTGCCTAAAGATTTCTGTCCGGCATATAGGTAACCACATTTGGGCTGCAGAAATCTGGGCAGCTGCTAGATAGCAGCAAAAAGTTAGCATTTTCTGTATCTCTTTGCTGGCATCTAGTAATTATCTGGATATTTGCAGCCCAGATATGGTAACCCTTTCAACTGCCTCTTTTTTTTTTTTCCTTTTCAGTATCACAGGTCTATTTTTCTGTCTTGTGATTTTACATCTCATTGCTCAGGACATTATATTTCCATTGTGTGATTTCAGTTAAACATAAAAACAGGAAAAGACTGAACACATAAAGGATATTTTTAAGGAGTACAAAGATGAAGGTCCTAAAGCCTAGGAAAACAGAAAGACCCTTGTTTTATCTGAAAAAAGTGTCAAAAGTGGGGATCATGCAAAGGATCTCAAATATATGTGACACCTGAAAAAGGCTTTTCTCTAGTCCCTGTTGAGGGTGCCCAGATAAGAATTTATGTGGGTTACCTTTCAGGTAGGTGGAACTGAGAATTCCTTCAATATCTAATGACCAGGCCATCACAGAGACTTAAAAATAAGCACAGTACTTTGAATTTAGCTCAGAAACAGACCAGACCTGACCTAATAAAATTCAATAGCAATGATAAGATCCCATCCCAAGTAGTGGGCTCACAGCTGTGTTCCACACCACCTGCTGTTTCTAAGCCAGGCCCTTGTACTATGTGGTCTGGTTCAGAGGTTTCCAGAGCTCGATAACTGTAGCAGTGTTGGCTCTTATCTTCAGGCTGTTTCATTTTTATATTGAAATGGTTTCCAATGCTACTTAGTGTTCTTGAAATGAGCACCTAACTTTTATTAATACTTACTCTTGCATCTATACATGGAGCTTTTCTTCACAAACTCCAGTAGTAGCCTCTAATTATTTCTAGACATTAAGTTTATTCAGTATGTATGGGAGAATATACCAAATAGAGACAAATAAGGTTTTTCCTACTCTTTGAATAGTGATTATTAGCTACATAAATAAATATAAAATCCCAGACTGGGAGGAATGCTTACTCTAATTTTTTTAGCATTCTGGGCCTTTTGCTGGTGGATATGACCTAGTAAGATCCCATTTCTTTGAGCCTTCTTTTTGGTGTTGATCCATAGTTTTTGTTAAGAGAGGATGCACCTGTCTTTAACTACTTGTGTATTTTTGCATTACTCAGGGTGGTGGCTCTGCTGTAATTGACATGGAAAACATGGATGACACCTCTGGCTCTAGCTTTGAAGACATGGGTGAAATGCACCAACGCATGAAGGAAGAGGAGGAAGTGGATGCAGAAGCTGCTGCTGCAGATGAAGAAGATGGAGAGTTTTTGGGAATGAAAGGTTTCAAGGGGCAGTTGAGTCGGCAGGTAGCTGATCAGGTAAATGGAGATCCTATTGGTTTACTGGTGCTCCTCTG